GGGCCCTGCACGTAAGGTCTCTCTCTCTTTTTTTTTTTTTTTCATTTGGCTACACTAGGTCTTAGTTGCAGCATGTGGGCACATTCGATCTTTTTTCTTTTTAGTTGGCAGCATATGGGATCTAGTTCCCTGACCAGGCGTTGGGAGCGCAGAGTCTTAGCCACTGGACCACCAGGGAAATTCCCAGGCCTAACTGTTATGTACGCCAGAAGCAAAGCTTGCTAGAGGAAGAGATGTAAGAATCAGAACACCTGAAAATAAAATGTGGAGGGAAAAAAAAGGCAGACATTGTTCAGATACCAAATGTATTTAAAATAAACTCTAAAATAATATTTTTTAGATGATTAGGGAAGTTTGAATATGAACTGGGTAAGAGATGATATTAAGAAATGACCAGTTTTGTTCAGTATGATCATGGCATTATGGATTCAGAAGAAAATATCCCTGTTTCTAGATGCACGTGGGAATATGGAGGGCAGAGATGACACAATGTTTCAGAGAAGAAATGAAGCAGGTGTGGTAAAAAATCTGGCCAGCCTTTGATCCTGCTGCTGCTGCTGCTGCTGCTAAGTTGCTTCAGTCTTGTCCAATTCTGTGTGACCCCATAGACGGCAGCCCACCAAGTTCCTCCATCCCTGGGATTCTCCAGGCAACAATACTGGAGTGGGTTGCCACATCCTTCTCCAATGCATGCATGCATGCTAAGTCGCTTCAGTTGTGTCCAACCCTGTGCAACCCTATGGACAGCAGCCCACCAGGCTCCTCCATCCACAGGATTCTCCAGGCAAGAATACTGGAGTGGGTTGCCATTTCCTTCTCCAAGTTGATCCTGAATGATGAGGAATGCGGATTCCTTAAGGTCAGTTCTCTAACTTGTCTCTCAAGTCCCCACATTCTGTCCTGCCTGTGTGTGTGTCTATCAATGAACTACTTAGGCTCCGACTGAAGGCTCTACCCTGGCCTCCCCACTCCCCAAATTCTGTCCACCTAGAACCCTGACTCTTCCCCTTTGTACACGTTCCTTTCCCCACAAAGATGACGTTCCCCTCTTCTAGCCAAATATTCATCGCCACCTTGTCCCCAGACACTTTCTACACCTCTCCAGCCTAGGAGGCCTCTCCTTGGACCCTTTCCACCACTGTTCTTTGTGTCACACATGGTCACCTTTATGGCCAGCTACTTCCATCACTTGATACAGTTTTCTGCAAGTGTGAGGCCTCCCCTCTGTGAGTTCCTCCACATGGAAGGTGTCTCTCGGGTAATTTAATGGTTGCTTTGCTTTATACTCCCCTCACTGCCCTGCAGGGCCCTCCGGACTCCCTCATCTCAACTCTGATTCAGGTTTCTGTCTAAACATGACCTCTTCTTTTTAAATTTTTTTTTGGCGGCAAAGCGTGGCTTACAGGATCTTAGTTCCCCAACCAGGGATTGAACCCCAGCAGTGAAAGCACTGATTCCTAACCACTGGACTGTCAGGAAAGTCCCAAAACATGGCTTCTTCTAAGAGTCTTCCCTGACCACCCATCTAATACCACCCTCACTGCCCACAGTCACCTTGTTCAGCGTCTTCATAACCTTCACCTCTACTGGAAGTTATTTGTTTATATTCTGCCTTACCCCACCAAACAAGGGAAGTGAACTGTACAATTCAGCTCTGGGACCTGAGCCCACATGCTGAGAACTGAGACTGGGACTTAAACCCACAGTCTTTTCATTGAGATCACATAGGTCTCAGGCTTCCCTGGTGGCTTGGGGTAAAGAATCTGCCTGCAGTGCAGGAGGCATGGGTTTGAGTCATGGGTTGGGAAGATCCCTTGGAGAAGGAAATAGCAACCCACTCTGGTATTCTTGCCTGGAAAATCCCATGGACAGAGGAGCCTGGTGGACTACAGTCCATGGGGTCCCAAAAGAGTTGGACACGACTAAACAACACCACCTGGTCTGAGGATTGAATGAAGCTCAGGTTCTTGATGTCTTGACACAAAAAGAATTCAGTGAGAGACAAAATGACAGGGAAGAAGTGGATTTATTGCATTTCCCTGGTGGCACAGTGGTTAAGAATGCACCTGCCAACACAGGGATCACGGGCTCAATTCCGGGTGCAGGAAGATTCCACATGCCGTGGAGCGACGGCCCATGTGCCACAACTACTGAGTCCCTGCGCTGCAACTACTGAAGCCCTGAGCCGAGAGCCTGCGCTTTGCCACAGGAGAAGCCACCACAATGTGAAGCCCACACACTGCAGCGAAGCGTGGCCCCCACTGGCCGCAACCAGAGAAAAGCCTGCACCCAGTAACGGAGACCCAACACAACTAAAAATAAAAGAGAAATGTGTTTATTTAGAGAGAAACACCCTCCACAGACAGAGTGTGGGTCATCTCAGGAGGTGAGAGCTCCTGAAATATCACATGGTAGTTTTTATGAACTGGGTAATTTAATAGGCTAATGAGGAGGAGGATTATTCCAACTATTTGGGGGAGATTTCCAGGAATTGGGCAACTGCCCACTTTTTGCTCTTTGATCTGCCTAGGCACTGGTGGGTATGCCATTAATTACAAAGGGCTTCCCTGGTGGCTCAAATGGTAAAGAATCTGCCTGCAAAGTGGGAGACCCAGATTCGATTCCTGGGTTGGGAAGATAACCTGGAGAAGGGAATGGCAGCCCATTCCAGTATTCTTGCCTGGAGAATCCCATGGACAGAGGAGCCTGGCGAGCTACAGTCCACGGGGTCGAAAACAGTCAAACATGACTGAGTGTATAATGTTTTATAATGAGCATATAAGGAGGTTCAAGGTCCACCAGAAGTCCGATCTTCTGCCATCTTGGATCTAGTTGGTTCTAACCAGTTTTCATCATGTCCTATGGCTATGTCATTCTTTTAAAGGTTGTGTCCTGCCCCCTTCCCTCCTGTTTCAGAAGGATTTTATTTTTCTTGGTCACCCCTCTATCCTGAGTGACTAGAAAAAGGCCCAGGAGAGGGCAAAGGTTTCAATCAATATTTTACTGAGTGAATGAGTAGATGTAGCCTTCCCAACTAGACTGCAAGCTCCAGGTTACTTACTTCCTGGAGAGAGCCAGCACATGGCAATTATTAAATAATTTTCTTCTAATTGATTGGTGATGAGCTAACAGGTTGGTATTCCAGGAATCTTGTGCTCCAGGTAAGCCTGGAGTTACTATCCTCCACCTGGGTTGGGGCCTTAGTTCCAACAGAAGAACTCAAAGATATTGTTTTACTGCTTCACCTTTGTTTCTGCATTCCCGCCCTTCTTGGATTAGCAACTGTTTGAATCTGCCCTTTGGAACTCAAGGAAAGGTGTACGAGGCTGATTAACACCTGTCTCTTACAAACAGCAAATGGGGGACAGAGAGAGGAACTGTCTGTCCCTGGGAGGGCCCCACAGGGTCCTGCTCCGTTTCAGCCATTGTCTTCCCATCTGCAAATCTGCATTCGATCTCTTTTCCTGAAGGCGATGCCATCCACCCAGATTCCCAGGCCAGAAACCCAGGAAGTTTTCATCCCTCCTTTTTTGCTGTCACCCTCCCAGCTAACTAGTCAGCAGAGTATTGCTGATTTTACCTGCTGAGTTGCTCCTGAATCCATCTCTGTCTTTCTTTCCTCCCCTTTCACCATCATTGTCTTAGTCCAACTCTACCTGGACTTCTGCAGAGGCCTCCTCACGCAGGTTTTCCCTGCATCTGCTCTGGTTCCCTGAGTGCCCTTTTCTCCCAGCTGTCAAACACCCGACCTGCTTAAAGCCCATATATGCCTGCCCATGCCCTGAGGATGGACTCCAAACACCTTAGCACCCCCAGAAACTGCATACTCTGCTCACCCCACCCCACTACAGCTCCTCAGCCCTAAACTTTATGCAGCAGTCACTTCTTTCAGGTTCCCTGAAGTACTTGCTGGCCCTCTGGCCCCCAGCCAATGCATCAACTCTGCCCCATACCTCTTCCCATCTCAGCCCCCTGCAGGGTTCAGTTTAGAACTTCTTCCTCTAGAATGCCTTTGCTGACTACACCTTCCCAGTGTGACCCCAACCAAACCTGTATTTCACCTCTCACAGTCCTTTTCATCCTAACTGCCTGGCTGCCCCTCCATCCACCTACCTACCACCCCCAGGTGATCTTGAGTTCCCTAAGGGCAAGATGATATCTGTCTTGCTCACTCAAGCTACCCTGTTGGTTCAGATGGTAAAGAATTTGCAATGCAGGAGATCTGGGTTTAATCCCTGGGTGGGGAAGATCCCCTGGAAAATGGAATGGCAACCCACTCTCAGTATTCTTGACTGGAGAATACCATGGACAGAGGAGCCTGGTGGGCTACAGTCATGGGATTGCAGAGTCGTACACGACTGAAATGAAACTAACACTTTCATTTCACTTGCTCACTCAACAAAAGCACAGATTTTGATGCACAGCAGACCCTCAGCAACTAACTTTTTGGATAAAAGACATTAGACTACTGACTACAGGGTAAAAACCTCGGCCTCGTCACATGCTAGCTTTGGACTTGAGCAAGTGTCTCTCTCTCTTCTTTTTTTCTTGAGCTACTCTCTTGACCTCTGCCTCCCCTTCACCTGTCAATGGGGACAGTAATAATACATTTCTGATACACAGCTGTCGTGAGGAGTCAAGCCCTTACGTGCACATAAACTTGGCCATTATTAACATTTTTTAATACAGCCTTTCCTAGATCTCAAACCACACAACAGGTTAGGCCCAACCGCACAGTGGCATCTGTTCCGTCTGCAGATAAACAGTCACCCTAGGACCCTGCGGGACACCTGGGTGTCGGCCCCGCCTACTGCTCGGGTGTGGCTTACGCGCGGACCCACCCGGGACGCGGAGGCCGCCGCCGCGGCCCACTTAAGGACGGGAGGGGACGGGCCCGAGAAGGCTCCGCCTCCGCGTGAGGTCAGCGCGCAGCGCGGCGCGTGACGCTCTGGTTGCCGCAGAGACGCCCCGCCCCCGCGCGGCGCTGCGGAACCGGAGCTCCGGGCGGCGTCGGCAGTGGCGCGGGAGGCTGCGAGGCCGGGGCGGCAGGAGCCGGCGCGGCGACCGCGGCGAGAGCGGCGGGGACAGAGCAGACCACGACGAAGGCGCACAGGCAGCCGGGCCGGGCCGGGCCACGGGGAGAGCGGCCATCAGGAAGCGGGCGGGAGGCTGGACTGGCAGCAGGCAGCCGCCGAGCCGCGAAGCGACATGGTGCTGCTCAAGGAGTAGTGAGTGTCCAGCCGGCCGTGCGGAAGCGAGGAGGGAGGGAGAGTCGTGGATGTGTGCAGGGGAGGCTGATGGCCTGGCGGAGGGGATGCAGCGGCCGGACGGGGCCCGACGGCATGGAGAGCGCTGGATGGGTTATTGGGCGGCCCAGCAGGGGCTGAGGGGACAGCCAGGGCCGGAGGTGGGCCGAACGGGGGTAGAGAGGGAGGGATACAGCACCTGAGGTGGGCCCAAGGGGCAGCGAGGGCCGAGTAGGCCTGAGGGGAGGCTGAGGGGACAAAGAGGGCCAGGCAGGCCTGGGATGAGGTCAAGGGGACAGTGAGAGCGGGACGGAGCATGAGGAGGAATCGAGAGCGCTGGATGAGACGTGGGGTGGTCCTGGAGTGGAGGCTGAGGGAGGAAAGGGCCATCCAGAGCTGCAGGAGTGGCAGAGAGGACCCCCGGCAGAGGGAGGAGTTGTCCGAGTGGCCCAGGAACAGTTAGACAAGGGCAGACAGGGCCAGGGGTGGGGAGGGGTTTGGGCCAAAATACTGCCAAGGGGCACTGGGAGATCAGGTAAGACAGCTTCTGGAATGGAGTTGAGATGATGGGTGGAGTGTGGAGGGCCACCTGGGGTGTGAGGAGTGTTGCCTTAGGCATCAGGGCAAGGACTGTGTTAAGCAGACACAGGAAATGGACTAGGGAGTCCGGGCCAGGCTGAGTGACAAGGGAAGGGTATGAGGAGATAGCAGGGGACTGGCCATGTGACATGTATCTTCAGTGCTGGACACAGAGGAGGGAAGTATTCAAGGAAAAAGGATGATTGCTTGGGACTTAGGGACACTAGGGTGAAGAGTCCAGAAAATATTGGTCAGGGGCCGAAGTGAGAGGATTATGATGATGGAGCGGGCCAGGGTGTTAGGGAGGAAGACAGTTTGGAAAAAGTATGATTGTGAGTAAATATACATGTTGTTAGAGTTGGGGTGGGGGTGGCCAGGGCCAGCCTGTGTCTGGAGGGTTCTCAGTCTTGGTACAAAGAGATGGGGAAATTGCTCTGACACATTGATATTTGTCATCAAGCCATTGACTGAGGAAAAGTGGTGAAGAGTGAGGGAGTTTCTGAGTAGTGAGGGTGGGTTGGGGTGGTGGGAGTGACTTCTGGTAGGAGTTGCAGGGAGATGGGCTTGCTCGTGAAATACAGGGGACTGAATGACAGGTGGGGATGTCTGGATTGCTACGTCTTTCAAATATGAAGCGATCCGTTCCAGAAGTTCGTAGTTCCAAGTAAACATCTTAGGACTTTTCTTTTTCCCTTCTTCTTCCAAGAGGAGAGATTGGGGACAGGGGGATGGTGGGGAGAGGGGAGATTGGATGTATACGTGCAGAACTTTCAGGGAAACCATACTTCCTGGAGGCGAGGACAAGTGGACAGCATTGAGCCAGAAGCCCAGGAAGTCAGGAAGTGGGAAGTGTCCGGAAGTGGGAGATGTTGGGGTAGAGAGCAACTGGTGGACCTCACTTGGTAGCCAGGCAGGTGTGCTGAGAGCTGTTTCCATTTTGTCAGTGAAAGGACTTTGCCCCCTTCTAGCTGGCCTGCTCCTTGGAGGTGTTTAGGATGTTTAGGACATAGTGTGGAGTTTTGGATAGGAAAGAGAAGAGACTCAGGTGTCATCGCAGCTTGACACCTCGTCTGAAGAGCGTTATTTCAAAGTCCCTCCACTCTGTTACTTGACATCCAATCTGATGCTGATTCAGCCAGAGCGCAGTTTTGTGTGGTGAGAAGGTAGAATCTTGCTTGGGAAGCCAGCAAGAGGAGGGTCGGGTGCACTTTGAATTTTAATCTTGACTGTCCAGATGATAGACTTTTCCTACTGTCCTGATTCTTTTGTCTACTCCCAGTCGAATCCTAGCATCTGTAGAAACCTGTAGTTTTTGTGCAGACGGTCAGGCAGGGAAGGGAAGGGACCTTCAGAAGAGATCTGAGTGAGTTTTGAAGAGAGAGTTTCCCCTCTCAGTCTTTGTTCTCCTCCCCTTGAAGCCCGCCAGGGAAAGGTCCAAGGTGCCAGGGATACAGAGCCTGCCTGGCATCTGCATTTCCTTCCTGCTCAACTTGTGCCCTGAGTGTGTTCGGGCATGTGTGTGTGTGTGTGCGTGTGTGTGTGTGCGCGCGCGCGCGCATTCCTTGGTAGGGGGGCCCAGAGGGGGCATCGGAGATGCTTGGCTGTGGCTGCAGCTCTGGAGAGACTGTGAGTGAAGGTCACACTGAAGTGAGCGAGGCTCCGATCCCAGCCCCCACGGCCTCTGTGGCCCCATCCTTTGCAGTTGCACCCTATTGCTGCTGAAGTGGGTTTGCTGCCAGGGAGAAGCATCTGGGTGTGCCGCTGTCCTGTCACAGTGTCAGAGCATCCTGTCAGGAACTGACTGATGCAGGTCTCTTTCGGGTGGAGACTCAGTGCCCACCCAGCGACTGAAGGTTGTCCAACACTTCCTCTCGCAAAATTCTCCATGATTTGATTTCTGCAAATTCTTGGATGTGATTTTTTATTACCATTGTTCTTGAAGATAAAAGGTGTATTGTTTTCTAGGAAGTTTCTTCTGAGGGTGCAGAAATTGTGGCCTCCACGTTGGAAGCATTTCTCTGAGCCGTCAGCTGTCTCTGATGGGAGGAGAGCATTAGGGGCAGCTTCCAAAAACCTGCAGGGTTTACGTTATTTGAGTCATCCTAGGGGAGGAGAGTTAGCCGGCAGTAAAGACTTGGAACCCATGTTGTTTTTCCTGCTACTTTCCTGCTCTGTGCCTTGCCTTGACTGAGATGTTTTTCTCAGACCCCTCTGGGTGCCTCTTGCTGTCTGGGGACCTTTGCGGGACTAGAGAATAGTGAGTGGGCTATTTACCAGCCTGGAGCAAGGGTCGCGATGGGCAGAACCGCGGCCCAGGAAGGAGCACGGACACACAAGATGCAGGAGGCTCCAGGGGCTCCCAGCTAGTGTCTGGGGTTGGAGAATCTGAGCTGGGGAGCTGGCTTGATTGGTAGGAATACAGCCAGGTGTTTTTGTCTCAACTCTCAGACCCCAGGGCTCTGAGCTGGGGCTTGGCCATTGCTCTGCGTTACAAATGCAAGCCACCCTCAGCAGGGCCCTGCCCCTCGCCCCTGTCTGTGTGTGTGGAGTTCTGCCTGGTCTGGGGCTTTGCTGGTCATGGCTTCTCCATCAGGTGATTGACTGGCGGTACCCCCAGCAACATTAGTTGTCATGGAAATGGAGAAGAAGGAAAAGAAAGTGGGTGGGGATGCCTTTGGACAGCTTCTAGAGGTCAGAACACGAGTTAGGAGTCCTCTCTTGGTGGCTTTGTGGTAGTGGCTTGTAGTATCTGGCCCTGAGATGGTTGGCGTGTGCTCTTAGGGTAATTAATGCTCCAAGGAGCTTGGCCTCTTCCTAACTTTTCATGTTGAGGGCTGCTGTTGGGAGGTGGGGTCCCCAGAGATGTCAGTCTCCAGGGCCTGCTTGTTTGGGCCTGAATCCCCGTCTTGACTTCAGAGTGTACAGGGGTGGGTCCTCCTGTGTTACCCTCCTGTGTTGTTGGGGAAGGTATTTGTTGGGGAGAGGGAGAAGACAGCTCCAAACATGAGCCAGAGGCCTAGAAAGTACCTGGTAAGGGGATGGGTGTGCACTGAATCGCAGGTTTCTGAATGGGACCAGGGTCCCAGTCTTGAAGCACTCAGGAGGCCGTTCTCTGCTGGGGTTCTGACAGTGAGTGCAGTGTCGCAGGCAACACCACATCCTGTTCCAGGACAATGCTTTCAGAGCCCCAGGCTGACCCTCTGTTTTCCCTCTCTTGCAGTCGAGTCATCCTACCTGTGTCTGTTGAGGAGGTAAGTCCTCTTTCCTCTTTTTATCCAGAGTTGGAGATGCTTGCTTGTGACCGTCAGCTCAGCTGGGCTCCAGGCAGCCCACACCAGCATCTTCGCCTGGTTTTCGTGTTTGTCCTAGCATAGAGATAATCAGTACTCACTGTGAATTCTCCTGGTGCGATTTTCAGTTACAGGAAGGCACTTCATGTATCTGACCAACTGTGTGTGACCTGCCTCAAGCTGTTGGCCAGCAAGAGAACCATGGATAGACACAAAACCAGCCCCCACCCTACCCCCCCAACCTGCTGGAACTCTGCCTGTTTGATGACATGTTACTGAGGAGATTAAGGACGTGCATTTCTGAGACCTCCGTTACTTGACAGGGAGGCATGCCTGGCCCTCTCTGGTTGTGCAGCAAACCAGCAGGGCTGAAACCTCCGAGGCCCTTCCTCGCTACACTTAGGTGACTGCTAGGAAGGCCGAGGCCAGAATCCTCCTTTTATGGAGGGCAGGGAATGACAAATGGGCTTGGCTTGGCCTCTGTCCTTTTATGGTTCTTGAGCCCGACGTCCCCGTGAATTGCGATCTGGCAGGATTGACCACACGAAGGTTCATAGGCCGAGCTGACTCAGAGTCGGTCTCTGGAACAGCAGAACACTGCCCCGGAGCCTCCCTCTTCCCGCCCTTCCTCTGAACTTCCTTCACGCTCCTCTACCAGCTCAGTCTTGTTCTTTGATCCCTTCAGAACTGACAGAGCCCCTAGCTTCCAGCTAAGCTAAACTTTGGGTGAAGCTGCTCAGCCACGGTGCTGCCCTCAGTCACTCTTTCCTGCAGTGTCAGCTCCCTTGAGCACTTCCACTCAATTCCACATATGAAACGGTCCTTTGCAAAATGAGATCAGGCCAACAGAGCCCGCAGCACACTTGAGATGAGAGGGAGGGTGGGCTGCATCTCCATGTTGAGAGCTATAGAGACCTGGGGGAGGGGTCGGGGTGGATCTTGGACAGGACAGGGGAGTTCTGGGAGAGGAGGATAAGAGAAATGAGACTCGAGAGACTGGGCAAGGGGATGGCTGGGTGGATGCTGTGACCCCTGAGATGTACTGGGGGCCTGGGAATCACGTGCTTGGGCTGACAGCTGTTGGCTTGGTGGCGAGGTGGGGGGTCCCTGCTAACCCATCTCCTTTGGGGTCCTTGGTCTCTTTATGAAAAATAGCAAGTGATGATTTTCCAAACCCGGAAACCAGGCAAGAAGGCCCAGCATGTCACTTGCCCTGAAACTCTGCTCTCGGGGGTCCAGTGACTCCCTCTCTGATGTACGGCAAGGTCCCACACCCCAGTGAGGCACGTGTCCCCCAGGAATTCAGGAGCACCTCCAAGTGGCGTTCAGGGGTGACATGGATCTTTTCTCCCAGGGAGTGTCTCGATTTTAATGACAAGTGGGAGGGTCTGAGCGAGGTGGCAGATGCAGGAGGGCCGGCGCTTGTCCGGGGCAGCTCTGGGCCCATTGCTCATGCTGGGGCCACGAAGGGCGGGAAAGGGGAAGACACCTTGAGAGTGTCTGCAGCTGGTGGTTTTCAGTTTGCGATGGCTTGTTGTTTTTTTTTTTGGAGCCTTGAGGAAGTGGTGAGGTGGGGTGAACCAAGCCTGAAAGCAGAAGCTTGGGAAGTAAGCACAGGTCGGGATTCATCTGTAAGCCTGGTGATGGTCAACCCGTTCCCAGTCAGAAACCACCGATGAGGAAGCGGTGCTTGGCCTGTGTTGGGTTGAAGCAGGAGCTGCTCTTTGGCTGACTGAACCTTAGTTCCAGAAGATCAGAACATCTTGAGTGGGGAAGCCCTAGAAGAAATAAGTAATGACCAGCCTTCTCAGAGTCTTTATCAATAACCCATCCTGACTGGAAACAGCGCAGTGTCATGGCAGTTGGATTCACTTCCCAGTTGGAGGCCCTTGGAGCTTTATCATTTTGGAAGTGGAAGAGAAGAGAGAAGACCCTGTCTTCATGACCATCCCGATGGCTTGAGTCAATGTTTGGGGGTGAAATTGGCTGTGGCTGGCCAGAGCCTTTGGCCTAACACTGGGCAGGGTTTCTAAATGTTCCGCAGAAGAGCCAGAGAGCCCTGGCCCTTTAACGTGCTGTATCCACCCCTGGTTTCTTACTCAGTCCAGCCTGCGTTTTCCCCCTCCTGTGGATAGGGCTTTTTTACTTCTCTTCCAGAGATGCACGGTACCAGGCCCCTTTGGTACCTGGCTTGGCAGAGCCATGGGGGTGGGACCAACAGCTGCGCTGTTTTTCACGACATGTTTCAGGCCTACCCACTGCGTCTTCCCAGTCTCCCACTTCCAGATTGCCAGCGTGGTGGGGCCTCTGTTTTCCTTACTTCTTGGGAGCAAAGGAGCAGCTCTCCAGGGCAGGGAGCACCATTCTGGGCCAGAGGAGGCTGCAGTCCTAGTCTCCCCAAGGCTCTTGATCTGATTTAATGTTCTGGCCCCGAGCCCCCACCTCTATGCCATCAGAGTCTGGCTGCTTTCTGTTTTCCCAGGGTGTGGAGCCCCAGTGCTAAAAGGAACCCTCTGACATGAAAAGTGTCCCTCACTGGTGGCTTGTGGAGGCCAGTCTTGCTCACCCCTTTGGATTAACAAAACCGCCTTCACATGTCTCATTGGGATTAAAGGATCAGAATATCAAGAGAGATTAAAAGGGAAAGATGCCAGCCCCACACACTGATCCTCTTAGAGCCTGCCCTCTGATTCCTGCAGCTGAAGAGGAACCAAATAAAGGGGATTAGTCAATGCGCAGGCCCCTCCCCAAGCAGCACCACCAGCCGGCAACCCAGTCCCCTCCACCAGGCCCTTTCCCCTGCCTGCCCTTTAGGATTGCTGAGTCAGTGGTTAGATGTTCTCATGACTCTTCTCTGAAACAGACTCACTGCTGCTTCTTAGGATCCCCTGGCTCAGCCAAACCCTGACCCACTTGCTAGGGGTTTTCATGGATGCCTCTATTAGGGGTTGGACTTGGAAAGGCATCGGGACAGCCTGGGGTTCCCTGGGGGCATTGAGGCAGCCCTGATGTAACTGTGGAGTAGCAAGGTCAAGGGGACTGGCTCTCACCCAGACGTGCCTCTTCACGGGATCAACTGAGCCTTGCTGGTTTGCTTCAGTCTTTCCTTGGCACCTTGTACTGTGTCTTTGCTTGGAAGGTGGGTTCTTCCAGCCTCGCGGTGAACAGGACTTGTCCTGGCGTGCTGCTTTACCTTGCAGGTTTTGCCCAGAAACATCCCTGCGGAGCTCGGGAGGCTGCCGGCTAGAGCGGCCTTCCAAGGCTGAGGTGGAGTGGGGGAAGCCGCACTGCTCCTTGCTGCTGCAGGCAGGAGCTTCCGCAGCAGCTGCCCAGAGACACGGCTTTTCTGCTTTAATCTCAAGGAGAGAAAGACTTTTGTCTTTCACTCCCGGGAGTACCAGGAGCTTGGGGAGGGGGTGTGGAGGGGTGAGGGAAATCTCGATCCCCACCTCTCCCCCGAACTGTAATCAAGTACCTTTTTCTCTTTTCCTCATACTCCCTAAACTGTTGTGGCTCGTGGCATTGGCCATAACAGGGAAGAGGCATCCTTTGGTGTAGATGTAACTTCCTGCTTTAACAGCTGCTGTTTATTCTCTTCTCATCTTGTTTTCCCCTCTAAACAGAAGGGCCATCCCTGGGCACTGCCCAGGTCATTGGCCCTCATACTGTTTTGTCCTGAGGGGATCAGAGGAGGCCAGGAATCTTGACTGGTGACTTGATAGTGTGGCATGTGACCCAAATAAAGGAAAACTAGGCTTTGGCCACCTAGTAAGTGCCAAAGTAGAGGGTGCATCTGGCCGGCACCATAGGATAGGAATCTGTGCTATGGAATACGAGAAGCAGGGCACTTGCTTCAGCCCCACCAGGAATCAGGAAAGCATCAGGAGATTTGGTTGCCTGCAAGACTTCTCCCTGAGGTGCTGGCAGGGGAGGAGGGGCCCAATGCTGAAGCAGAAGCAAAAAGATGAGCCCGTGTTACAGCAGGGGTTGTGGATTTCACGGAGCACTGGGTGCGTTTGTTTACAGAAAGTCACGTCTGTTAAGGGGGATGGGATAAAGAGACTTCTAGCAACCAGCCAGATCTTGTTTGGGGATCTGGGACTGGAGTCAGGGACAGAGCAAAAACTACCTTGGATTCTATAATCTATTTTATGGATAGTGGTGTGAAAACTATATTCACCTGCCTCGTTAAACCTTGTAGGAGGATGTGAAAAAGGGAAGGACGAAATTAGACTCCTCTGACGGCTAAAGGAAGGCCACAGAGTGGCGTTGTCAGTGGCTCCTGGAGGATTTGGGCCAGGCCATGTTAGGACCTGTGGGATGAGCCCCCGGATTCAGGGGTCCCAGAGCCATCTCACTGGACAGCTCCCACAGTGGGGCTGTGTGCAACCCTCGAGAAGATTCTGTGTTGGCAGTAATTCCCCTCTCTGTGTTCCTTCAGTATCAAGTAGGGCAGCTGTATTCTGTGGCTGAGGCCAGCAAAAATGAAACGGGTGGTGGTGAAGGCGTGGAGGTCCTGGTGAACGAACCCTATGAGAAGGACGGCGAGAAAGGCCAATACACGCATAAGATCTACCACTTACAGAGGTAGGTGCCCTGCAGCAGAGCCAGGGTGGTGGCCCACTGTCAGAGTGCAGACACAGCTCATTGCAGGTGTTTCTCGGGTTGGCCCGTCACTCAAGTTGCTTCACCTGCGACGGTGGGTAAAGGTGGTTCTTCTTTGCTCTTTTAAAGGCTGTTCTGTTTGTTTTTAAAGTATTACTTGCCCCACCAGGCTCGTAGTCCCCAGAAGTCATAGTGCTTATCTTCTTGTGGGCCCTTTCAGTGTCTGTGAATACAAAGAGTGTGTGTGTGTGTGTGTGTAAGTGGGTGTTCATTTCCTTCATTGTTATGTTATCTGACAGATGCGATCTCTTCTTTTCTTATCATGGCTGTTTCGCTGTCAGCATATTTGGCCTCTTTTAAAGCACATGCAATCTGAACAGACATACTGGCAGTGGTTTCGCCAGTCTTGAAGTATATTTACCATTATTTCCACATGTTCACAAGCAGTCCTCCACTAAAACTCCCTCTGCACAGATCCTTTGATGTGTTAAATGTGTGTAAATCTATAATAAATGTGCCTAAAAGTAAAATTGTGGCTTTAGATAGTATTTTAAATTCTGATGTTATGAAATCGGGTCCTGGAGAAATTTTTGGTACCTCTCTTTAGCCTAAAACCATTAAGTATTTAAAAGTATGGCACAAACTGATTTGGGTACCAGAATCTGTTGCAAATCACACAATTGCTGAATCCCTAACCAAGACGGTAATATTTCAGTAAACTGGCCCAAAGAACATTGAAAGTCATAGTAAACATGGACCAGCTCAGGAGGATGTTGAATCAAGCTTGTTTTAGAAACGACCCAGTACTGGAAAAAATAAACCTTCAATTTCTTTTTATAGTTGTGGTAAGATGTACACAACACAAAATTCACTGTTTTTACCATTTTTAAGTTAAGTGGCATTAAGTACGTTTGCATTTCTATGCAACATAGACCTGAACCTTAATCTCTAGTCCATTCAACTGAACAAAGCAGTTCAGTTTTCATTTGGTAAAACTGCTAACTGAAGTCTGCTCTAGGGATGTAGACGCGCCAGCCCGCGGGGTGGCCCACAGTTCTGTGAGTTCAGAGCGTGGAGAGCAGCGCTGAGTGGGGAGAAAATCTCGCCACGACCCCGCTTCCTCGGCACTGCGCCCTTTTCCCTCTGTGCCTCCCCTCTGACCGTTGAGCTGACTGCCCACCCGTTCTTTCTGAGCCATTGATGAGAGCCAGGCTCAGGGCAAACCTTCCTTGTAGTGCATTTGTATTGGGTTGGCCAAAAAGTTCATTTGGGTTTTTCCATAAGATGCTGCAGAAATGCCCAACAAACGTTTTGGCCAGCCCAACATTTTTTAATGAGAACTTTGAAAAGAGATAGTGAGACTGGTAGCAGGGGCCAGTTGGTTCCTCAAGACTCAGTCGAGGAAGGTCTACATGTAGAGGGTAGGCCCTGTCTTACCCTCTTCCTTATGGAGAGGATAGAAGCTTTGAACCTACCTACCACTAGTCTTTTTATTGGCTATGCCATGCAGCTTGTAGAGAGTTAGTCCCCCAACCAGGGATTGAAACCAGGTCCACAGCAATGAAAGCCCACGTCCTAACCACTTCACCACCAGGGAATTCCCTCCCCGCCACTACTGTTAACCGCAAGACACCCAACTGCTGAGAAAGAAAATGAAAACCAAACCAACAGTGCTATATGCCATGGCCACCTCTCCTCATGAGAACCAAAGCCTTCCTGTCAGCTGTTAGTTTTCCCAGTCAGAGACCACGGGTTCACCACACCCTCTTCCTTCTTCATCACATCACATCAAGTCCTTTTGGGTCCATGTCCTTGGTTATCTCCAGCGTTTCTCTTTCCTTCCAGTCTCTCGTCTGGACTACTTACCACTTGTCCGCACAGCTCCGAGTATTCTGTCCAGATCTGTTGCTCCCCAGCTTTAAAGCTATAGATGGCCCTTTGCGCCCGGGACAAAGTCCATCCTCTCTGGTGTAGATGCAAGATCTCCTGTGCCTCAGCCTCTGCTTGTTCTCCCGTGTTCCCCACCTCATGCCTTACGCCAGTTACTCTGAACTTCTGTGTCTTCCCCCAGCGTTTCCCGTCCCACCCCCGGCCTCTTGTCTAGCTCAGCCCTACCCACGCGCTCCTCTGTTTCCACGTAAACCCTCCTCTCCCTGGGGAACCTCCCCATTCATGTGTTCTCACAGTGCGCTGCCTGATCAGTTCCACGGGAGCTCCCTGAGGACAGGGGCCACGTCTGTGTGATTTGTGCGTGTGTCGGTGCCTGGCACACACGGATGCCTGAAAGAGTATGGCTGTGAGTGAGTGGGTTCTCAGTGGGCTGCTCTCTGCGTTCAAAGTATGCTCTTTCCTGGGGGTAGCTCGTTTTTCGTAGGCCTCAGACCCCCAAAGCTGATGAGGTTATTGGCACCTGCTAAACTGCAAAGATTACCAGTTAAAAACTAGAAGAGGATTTCCCTGGTGGACCAGTGGCTAAAACTCCACACTCCCAGTGCAGGGGGCCCAGGTTCAGTCCCTGAACCTGGAAATTAGATCCCACATGCCACAACTAAGACTCAACGCAGCCAAATAAATAACTATTTTTTAAAAACCAAAAACACTAAGGCAGAGGAATATACATACCTTAAAAATAAAATAAAATAAAAAGTGCTAAAAAAAAAAAAAAAAGTACTCATACTTTTTATACTTGCTGTTCTGTAACCTGAAATAAGAATTGAGTAGAAGAAACTATTTTGTCCTGAAAGGCAGATGGCCCTGGGGCCCTCCTGGCCACCCAGAACTGACCCCAGCATATCAGATCATCTTGGATCCCCTATTCCAAGTCAGTCAGCCAGTCCCTCTGGTCCCGTCTCAGAGACATCTCATCCTTGCAGGGTGTAGTGTCGTGCCCTGGGCCCAGTGAGCTCTGGAAGGGTGTGTAACGATAGCGTAGGGACTGATGAGCCACAGCAGGTAGCCCGGGGCCTCACCCGCTGTGCTGTTTCTGGCAGGTCATGGGGCAGGTTGCAGGTGCACGTTAGTAGCCGGCGGAGCTGGGGTGTCGGTCTCTGACCGCTGGCTCTTTGCAACCAGAGTAACCTGCTGGTCTCATGAGAACTTGGGTGTCAACTCCCCAGTGAAGAGCCTGGAACTGTGGCCTGGAAGGTGCGCCAGAGAAACACACTTGTCTTCTAACTCTCTCCCCCGTTTCTCTTCGTAACCCTTTTCTCACTACAGCAAAGTGCCCACATTTGTTCGAATGCTGGCCCCAGAGGGAGCCCTGAATATACATGAAAAAGCATGGAATGCCTACCCTTACTGCAGGACCGGTGAGTGCAGACCCACCGTGGATGGAGGGTGTGCTCAAGTAGGCCCTGGGTGGCAGTGCGTTGGGGTTTTGTCTCCTGCCTTCATTTTCCAGACTAAGCCAGTGGAAGGATGAGCTTGGGGTCTTTGTTCAGACTGGTAGTGAGTGGCAGTGTTGTCTAGTACGATTTGGCAGTCAGCTGGGTGGGAACCAGCAAATAGCCCCAGCCCAATCTAGCACAGAACAAGTCCCTCCTATTTGGGGATGGTGTGATAATTTTTATTGTTTTTACTCATTACAAAAGTAATGTCCTCTGGGTAAGTTTTAGGGAATACATACAAACAGAAGAAAAGAATCACCCGTGATCCTTCTATTTTCTAGTCGCTGTTAACATTTTAGTGTCTTTCTTTCTAATCCTTTTTTAAAATGCTTTTATATACATAGATGTGTGTGTGTGTGTGTGTGTGTATAAAGCCTCCAGATATGTTTTCCAGACAAATTTTGGGTCAGATTTTACTAATTATTAACTTGCCCGTTTTTACTCAGTAGATGGAGAACCTATTTTCTGTCACTGCCTATAGTCTATTTTTAAAAATTGGTTAATGGGTGCACAGAATTCCATTGTTTGAGCGTGCTAGGATCTTTTTACACCCCTCCCTTATTGTTAGAAGCTGAAATTTCCAGTTTTAATGGTGTATATTCATGTTTGGCTTGAAAAGCAGCAATGAGGTTCAGGGACTCTTGAGAGAGGCAGTCCAGGATGTCCCTGGTGGTCCGGCGGTTAACACTGTGTGCTTCCACGCAGTGGAAGGGTCGTGGGCTCAATCCCTGATCGTAGGAACTAAGATCCCACATGCCATGTGGCCAAAAGATTTTTTTTTTAAAGAGAGAGGCCGTCATAGGAAAGAGCCTGTTAGGGTTACCTTCCTGCCTGGGGGAAGGACCAGACTTATACACCAGAAAACATAGCAAGGAAAACCCTGATATTATTGGAGAAGTGTTAAAATAAGCCCAATGTGTGATGACAGAGGATTCAGAAACAGCTATCCCCCAAGTACGTTATGTAACACCTGCCCTCTGCACACCAGATTTGAGGAGGGGAGGACCAGCAAGAGGGAGATCACTGGCAAGAGCCATGAGTCAGCGCCTTCCACTTGACCGGCATGTTCTGTAGTTGAAGGTGGGAGTAGGAGTGGAAGGCTTCTCTTAATCTTCACTAATCTTGTCTCTGGATTTTCTATTCTAGACATTCTGGGATTCCCTTTGTGGGATTCCCTTTGAGTAGTTCACACTCCTAGCTTTTCAAAATTCCTAAGTCTTAAAGGGTTGTTCGAAGTAGACCTCTTGGACAGCCCATGCTGTTACTGATGCATATCCTGGGTGGTGGGGTCCCTCGAGGTCCCTGGAACTTGACTGTGAGTTAAGAGGATTTCCCTCCAGCCAGTCTGCATTTGTTGGTGAAGACAGTCTGGCTGTGGGATCCTCCTGCCAGCCTCTGCTTACATGTACTTTGACACTTATTTGTCTCATTTGTGGGGATCCAGCACTCCCTAGATTCTATCTGATGAGGAAAATGTGTGTGGTCCTCATCCTGTTGAGGGAATGACTGCCATCTAGAGACAGGGTCATTGCTGTCTGGTCATTGTTCATTCAAGAACCTTGTATCAGGAGATGCTCAGTCATTGGTGGGACCTGGCATGTGTAATGCTTAGTTTTATTGCTATAGCTGAAAATGCAAACATTGCTGTTCCCTAAGCATCAGACAGGAAGCTGTTCAATTCTTGGAAAAGAGGCACACGCACACTTTCTTAAAGGACACACAGTGTGCACCATGGCTGGGTGTGTCTGGTCTGGGGCCAAAGGTGAATTTTCCTGATGTCTCAGAGAGTTGCACTGAGCATGCATCATAAGAACCTTAGCCAACTTGGCATAAAGGAGGCAAACGGATAGTGTGGACTGCTGCGTGCCTGGGGCGGGGTTCTGGTTTCACAGCTTGTGCCCACTGAGCCGCTGCTATCCTCTGTGTAGTTCTGGGGAGAGTGAGCTACAGCTGACAGGGGCATTTTTCTAGACACCTTATGTTCATTAGCATCTTGTTCTGATCCGTGGCCAAAAGAAGAAAAACTATCTCTAAATATCCCATGGAGAGGAGAGGCAGGGAGTGAGGAAGGGGAGGGTGGCTTCTTCAGTGGGAGCTGACTTTACATTCAGAACCCACCATCATGCAGTGTGAGTGTCTTGAATCTTAGATCTATTCAGTTAGACATGGGTCTTTTAAAAAGAGCTCTGAACAAGGAAGGCTGTGTCCAGTTCCTGCTGGGGACTGGTGGGAGAAAGATTATTGGTTCAGAACTCTTAGGCTGGACTAAGCAGATCAGAGTTTGAAGTGAGAGGGATAACGGAGTGTGGAGCGAAATTCCACATGCCTTTTGGAAGGTTCTGACCTTGTTCTGAGTAGAAGGAAGATGGATTTGCAATATTCTACTCATTCTCAGCTCTTTCTGTCCTCTTAACCTTATTTCTCTCTATTTCTTATCCCCCAATGCTCATGAGTTGGGACATGAGGAGAGGGTAAGATGGGCCTGGCCCTGTGAATGATAGCAGGAAGAGACACTTTCTTTTAGCAGCACACAGACTAAAACTGGAATGATTCCAAGTTTAGCATGGCCCCTGTACAAGGATGACACGCAGATTCATGAAGCGCTCCATGAAAAAAGGAAAGAAAGTAGGAAGAGGGAAATAAATGTTTCTCCTCCTGTCTCTCCCTCTAACCTTAACACTGTCTCAATAAAGTACAGTCTCAATAAAGACATAGTTTTGGGAGGATTTCTGTTTGGGGGTTTTTTTTTTGCTATACCACACAGCATGTGGGATCTTTGTTCCCTGTCTTGGGGTTGAACCTATGCCCCTTGCCTTAGAAGCATGGGAAGGACCTTACTGGTCTCATTGGAGAGCCCTGTTTTCCAACTGCAGAGTTTCTTGAGACTCTTCCAGACTACCTAGGGTTGCAGTTTGAAGAAAAGAGAACTGTCTGAGTGCAGAGGTGTTTGGAAGCAGGGAGGCTGGAAAAGATTAGGGAGGATTGTCTGTTCACCCACATTAGCATTAAAGGCCATTAAAGGGGGTCATCACCCTTGTACATTCACAATTTGTCAGAACTGAGTGGATCTGCTTCTCAGGATCCTAGAAAGAGCTGATATCCAAAGACATCCCCCACCCCCACCCTCCCTGAAATGCCAAAATATTAAGTTATACTGAAATACAAAATGACTAATAAAACCAGATATTCCTGTTTGCCAAGCAGGACTCGCTTCCCTCATGGGCTCATCTGCTCAGGAAACCAAATTCCAGCCTGTAGTGGAGAACATCATCCACTTGCTTAAGTGATCAGACCCTCGTGTCTGTTGATTAGCACATTCCATCCCGGCAGAGGCCAAACTAGGAGAAGGCTGCTCGGGGAGCATAGACTCAGAATAAGGTGGTTTGTTGGGGAACCCTGGTGGTGTGTGTCATCAGACCAGGCCAGCCTGACACTCAGGGTGGGGCTCCTGCTCCCAGGACAGCGCCAGAGAACCGCTGCCAAGGAGGTCTCTTTGGCCTCACCCTTCGTGGATATTACACCCATCATTTCCTTTTTTGTTAAACGAATAACAGGGCAGTTATTTCAGTAAGCCTTTTAGTTATCATCTTGATCTGTTGCTTTCTTCCAAGTAACTTCTGTTGGATTCAGGGAGGTTACTGAGATCGTCTCTTGGGTAGCTTCTTTTTCTTTCTCTCCTTTCTTTTAAAAAAATCTTGCCTTTATTGATTTTACTGGAGTGTAGCTGATTTACAGTGTTGTGTTAGTTTCAGGTGTATGTACAGCATAATGATTCTGTTATACATCTACAGATATCTTTCTTTTTCTGATTCTTCTCCCATGTGTTATTGCAGAATATCGAATGGCATTCCCTGTGCTATGCACTAGGGCCTTGTCAGTTATTCTTGGGTTGTTTCCATAGGAGGTGGATCTTATCCCTTATATTTCAACTTGTCCTCATCTCAATCTCAGAGGTAACCTTAGTTTCAGTTTTAGAGTCAGGGAGCTTGACTGTTAGCCCCACATGCCGTCAGAGGGGGCAGTGGTAGCATCCATCCGAAACTGCACCAACTCCTAAGTTCAGAGAGTACAGAATGATCTGGGCTGTGGTCAGGAGGAGAGCTAGTCCGTTCCCCAGTGACATTAGAGCTGCTGTCATTTTCTCTGATAAATAATTGAACAGTGCTTTCCGAGGGGGTCTCATTACAATGAGCAGGAGTGTGGCGGGTGAGAGGTTTGGTTACAGCGACAGGAAGGATGCAGAGGGCAGATAGACAGCGCCTGGCCTACGGTGCCCTGCTCTGCCGCTGGAGGCAGGGGGCGGCGGGAGGAGGGGGCAGCAGGTGATGGTCTGACAGCAGAGTCGTGGGTCTCAGTGCTTCAGCTCGTCAGGGCTGCTCCCTGTCCTTGTCCAGCCGGGAAGAGTCCTGAGGAGCCAATAGTGGCACCCCTTTAATGCAATCCCATACTTGGTCTTTGGGAACTTGTGCATGAGTTAAACTCGGAGGTTGGTGCATTTGAGGTCCCAAATGCACTTGCTGGGACTTGGAGGGTGACCGTGGTGTAAGTCCCAGGGAATGGAGAAGTCTTTGCTCCCATGGTCCCAGGGTGGGGGTGGATATTTTATTCATCTTCATTAATCTTTTTCTCTCTTCTTTCCATGTCCTTGCTGTGGAGCAGTTATCACAGTAAGTATTTCCAGGGGGGTGGGGACTGTAGATGATTTATAAGGAAGGAGAAAGAAAATGGAGCTGCCCTGGGGCCTCCTGGATTCTCCTGTCTTTGTCCTGGGTGGCCTTTGAGGCTTCATCCTTTCAGTCCTGTTGAGGAACTTGTTAATTGGCACCACCCCCTCCTGCTTGAAGCTGCATTGGCAGGTGGCTCTGTAGGTGCTGCAGTAGTCATTCCCACTTGGGCATCTTTTGACCCCAGTGAGCACTGATGCTAGGCAGAATTGTGACATCAGCCTGGCTTCTTCTCTCTGCCCCGCCCCTCTGTCAGCGCCCCCTTCTGTCCTCCCTGCAGCATCCTCATCCAGGTAAACACAGGAAGTTTCGGGGAGCCTGATTCCCGCTGAGGAGTTAGGGGGTTAACATGTTCCTCCTTTAAGTAGTTCCAGTTTTTAAAAAGCACTAAGGGAAGAAGATGATAATTAGTATGAAGGCTTAAATGGCTGAGAACTTCAGGCCTCAGCAAAAGGCTGGCTGGTGGCGGGGGAAGGGGGGCAACACGTTTAGATGGCTAGGAAGTCTCCCTGTGCTCTTCCCACGCTGCCACTCAGCCTTTACACCCTGCACATGAGGTGAATGGCAGAGATACGTGGGTTAAGTGCATGAATTTTGAAGTCAGACAAAACTGAGTTTGAGGCCCCAGTCTGTGGTTATCTTTGTGGCCTTGGGAAGTCCCCTCTGAAGTTCACTTTCCTCAAATGTGAGGTGAGGGTCGTGTTAGCACAGCCCTCGCAGGCTGGGGTGAGGATTGAGTGAGGGAGCGTGCACCTGGTATAATGTGAGCTCCCGGGACAGTGAGCTGTTAGTACAAGGCAGAGGCTGGGGTCTCTTGTCTGCCCGGAGCGGGTGGGGAGGGGTGGTTACTCTCCAACTTTGAGCCTAGTGACTGTAAGATGTGTTTCCCTCTCCCACAGAATGAGTACATGAAAGAAGACTTTCTGATTAAAATTGAAACCTGGCACAAACCTGATCTTGGGGCCCTGGAGAACGTAAGTAGCACTTCCCAAGATCCCCGAGGACTTCCAGGCCTCAGGATGGTACTGAGGCTCTATCCCTGCCAAGGGCTCTTCACCGTGGTCCCCTTTTTCTTGGCCAGGAAGCTCGCAGCCTGTGCCTAGATCTGTCCTGCCAGCATGGGATTGCTCTGTCTCTAATTTGAGAAATATGATCTCCAAGATATTTTCAAGGACCTGCTAGTGCTGGGATTGGTCTAAAATGCAACTCCTGGCACAGAAGAGCTGAATTTTTATAACATCATAATGAGCGAATCCCCTGACCATCCAGTGGTTAGGACTCGGCACTTTCACTGCCTGGGCCTGGGTTCAGTCCCGGGTCAGGGAACTAAGAACTAAGATCCCACAAGCCACATTGTGTAGTGCCCCCCCAGCACCCCTGAAAAAAAGCCCATCAAAATTACAGCCTCTATAGAGCTCAGTTTGCCAGTAACTCCTCAGATTTACAATATACCCGTCCCTTACTCTAGAAATTCCACACCTAGGAATTTACACTATAGTTATGTTTTCATATGTGTGAAATAACAATATACAGGGAGATTCATTGCTGCATTCTTGGTGTTTGTTTAGTCACTACATCATGTCCAACTCTTTTGCAACTCCACAGACTGTAGCCCGCCAGGCTCCTCTGTTGATAGGATATCCCAGGCAAGAGTGAGTTGCCATTTCCTCCTCCAGGGACTCTTTCCAACCCAGGAATCAAACGGAAGTCTCCTGCATTGGCAGGGGGATTCTTTACAACTGGGCCATTCTTGGTGTAGCCAAAGGTTAAAAACAACATAAGAGCCCATCAGTGGGATCCTGTTAAATAAAACATTGTGCAACCATGTACTTGTTTATTGTGCAGCCATTAAAAAGAGCCAGTAGGAAACAGTCTTCAAGAGATATTGCTCAGTGGGGAAAAAAAGGATGTAAAATATGTGCTTAAAGAAAATCTCTACAGTGATGGTACCTGGGAGCTGACTGAGAGACATGCAAGAGACAGAGTTACTTTTTATCATATCCTTTTGTACCATTTGAACTTGTGTCAGAATTTTGTATCTCATACCACCTCTTTGAGTTAGTTTTTACCTTTTTTTAAGATCTTTTACTTTTTTTTTTAATGTGGACCATTTTTAAAGTTTTCCTTGAATTTGTTACAGTATTGCTTTTGTTGTTTTTTATGTTCTGGTTTTTTGGCCATAAGGTATGAGGGATATTAGCTCCCCAGATTGGAAGGCAAAGTTTTAACCACTGGCCCACAGGGAAGTTCCAAGTTCAGTTCAGTTCAGTCACTCAGTCGTGTCCGACTCTTTGCAACCCCATGAATCGCAGCACGCCAGGCCTCCCTGTCCAGCACCAACTCCTGGAGTTCACCCAAACTCATGTCCATCGAGTTGGTGATGCCATCTAGCCTCTGTCGTCCCCTTCTCCTCCTGCCCCCAATCCCTCCCAGCATCAAGATCTTTTCCAGTGAGTCAACTCTTCGCATGAGGTGGCGAAAGTATTGGAGTTTCAGCTTCAGCATCAGTCCTTCCAATGAACACCCAGGACTGATCTCCTTTAGGATAGACTGGCTGGATCTCCTTGCAGTCCAAGGGACTCTCAAGAGTCTTCTCCAACACCACAGTTCAAAAGCATCAATTCTTCGGCGCTCAGCTTTCTTCACAGTCCAACTCTCACATCCATACATGACTACTGGAAAAACCATAGCCTTGACTAGACGGACCTTTGTTGGAAAGTAATGTCTCTGCTTTTTATATGCTATCTAGGTTGGTCATAACTTTCCTTCCAAGGAGTAAGCGTCTTTTAATTTCATGGCTGCAGTCACCATCTGCAGTGATTTTCGTTATTAATAATTTTTAAGAGCATCAAAATAAGCAGTATAGGGCTAAGCAGGCAGCATCCTCACAAGAGGAATATGCAGTCTTCACAAAGAGGGGACATATGGAAATAAAGTAGGTGCTAGGGAAGCCTGGAGAGCCTTGGGCTGCTGCAGTCATATTTAGCATGAAAAATCAGAGCATTAGTTCTCAAATGTATGTCCACTTAAAATTCATTCACCCTCCCACTCCTTTGGATAGTTTTGTATGTACTGGTGGGAATCTCACGTCTGTGGCTGTGGGAACAGCTGCTGTTAGAGGTCCATTCTGGGTAAAGGGTGTGGTAGCTGTTGAACTGTACATAGTGAGCGGTCACCCTTGTTCCTGCAGGTGCATAAACTGGAGCCTGAGGCGTGGAAACATGTGGAAGTCGTATATATAGACATTGCAGATCGAAGCCAGGTACTCAGCAAGGTAGGAACTGTTCAGCTGTATGGGTGGCCTTTGAGATGCAGAAGTCACTTATGTCAGAGAAACCAAGGAATCATACCAACTTGGGTCAAAGGGAAGTTCTCTCTTGAGTATTTTATTTTCTAAATGAGTGTTAAGAATCACCTTATCTTGACTTGGGGATACCACCAGGCAAATAGTGGCCCAGATGTACAATCTTGTGCTTCTTGGCCTAATATCCCCAGTCCTATCCTCAAAAGATTAGTGGATTTAAAACAAAAACAAAAAACCAAAAACTTTTCACTGAAGTATAACATATATAGCAAAGTGAATAGATCCTAAGTGTGCATCTATATACCTCAAACTGAACATCCCCAAATATTTCTCAAACAGAAACACTAGCCAAGAGTATGGCCCCTTGAGTATTTTGTTGATTCTGGTTGTTTCATGTGAGTGGAGAGAAGCAGAGGTAGGGAAGGTTTAATAAATAATCTCCTTCACTTTGGAAGATGCTTTACAACTCTATGTGTGTGCTTGTGATTGGATATCTTTGTTATTTTTTATAAGTAGATGCTATAAGGAGTTTGGTTTTTCCCTTGCCCACATTAGTTAATGCAGAGAAACAGCCCAAGAGTAAACTTTTGTTACTGTTAATTAACACACAGCATTGACTGCATTTTAAATCAGTGAAGGGAGATTGACTGTAGTACACAAGAGGATAAAGTCTATACATTGAACATTTCCAATAATGATTTTATTAAAACAAGGCAGTTTAAAAACAAAAGCAGAACAAAGCCAGGGAAAGGTGGGACTGGAAGATTTCAGAAATGACTGGCTGGTTGTTCTCAGCTCCAGCTGCTATTTTAGAATTGCCTGTTTTTTAAAATTACCCTGCGTTGCTCAAGGGTCGACTGTGTTTTGAAAACACCTTCCCTGGTGCTCTGGGTGTTCACTCCAGGTTGCAAATCCCCATCTTAAGTAGTGGAAATCCAGGCCTGTTCACACAATCTGGTAAAACTGAAAACAAGCCCTGGCAGACAAAATCACAGAGAGCTCTCTTCAGAGGCAAATCTAAACAGTTCTATATCTTGTTTATAGACTTTCCCATGTTTTCTTTGCACCAAAAGCATCAAGAATGGTATGAACTGTTCTGTGGTGTAAAATCTGATCTCCTCTCTCCCTGTCTCTTCCCCCCCACCCCCAACCCCTGCCTCCCCAACTTCTGACAGGATTACAAGGCAGAAGAGGACCCAGCAAAATTTAAATCTATCAAAACAGGCCGAGGACCCTTGGGCCCCAATTGGAAGGTGCAGTTCACACTCTTACCACCAGGGGGTGCTGGGGCCGGTGTGGTTGGGCCTCCCTCCTGGAGGTGGGGAACTGGGAGGGGGCGGGGGGCGCAAAAGGAGAGCCAGAGGTCGGCCCTCTTAGTTACCCGTCTGCCTGTGGGTGTGTTTCTAATACAGCAAGAACTTGTAAATCAGAAAGACTGCCCGTACATGTGTGCATACAAACTGGTTACTGTCAAGTTCAAGTGGTGGGGCCTACAGAACAAAGTGGAAAACTTTATTCATAAGGTAAGTGACCAGGCTGGGGGGCCTTCTGGTGTGTTGGTGGGGGGCGTTTTGCCCGACAAGAGAAGATCATACAACCCCATGTGGCTTGTATCCTAGGGTGGCCAACATCAGGATATTCAGGTCTGATTTCCCAGATCCCCACTTCCCCTTGCACCACACTCTTAGAGTTTAACGCTGTTCATCCAGGGGTACCACATGCAAATGGGAAGGAAACTGAGGCAAAAGAAGGAAACAGGAGGGGGCTTGTTATGATTAAATGGCAAATAAAACTCAGGATCTTTGCTTGACACCAAAAGGCAAAAAGTACTATGAACCAAATTCTCCCAGTACCTTGAATTACTGAACTAGACAAACCTAAGGCGTTTTTTTTTTTCCTTTTTTTTTTTTAACAAGAGAACATCAAATGAAAGTAATAACGTGTGTAAATGGGAGACCCGGGAAAACTGAGTAATTTGCCCAAATGGCACCTAAGAAGTTTCTATAGCCTTCTCTCTGATGTGTGAGAGTCTGGTAAAATTGAGCAACATCTCATAGCTGCTGGCCAATTTTATTTACTTATTTTTGGCCATGCCATGCAGCACGCCTGATCTTAGTTCCCTGACCAGGGATTGAACCTGAGCTCTTGGCAGTTGAAGCACAGAGTCCTAATCACTGGACTGCCAGGGAATCCCCCTGCTGCTGGTCAGTTTTAACCTGGTCTTTAGGCTTCAGAGACGAGGAGACTTGGCACAGTCATTTTGGGATCTTGGCTCATGGATTGCCTGTCTTGGGCGCAGGACCTCGGGGCAAGCTAGGCACCACCCTCTCCCTGGCGGCTTGTTGACTTGAGGCCATACCCATCAGAAATGTGGAGGCAAGGGTCACTGACCTGGGGGATTGGAGGACCGATCCAGATCAGCCAGTGGGGTACCTACGACTCCTCCCCCAACCTTCCCAGTACAGTCTGGCTGTTGGTGTGGAGGGCGTGGGCAGGAGGGCTGCCACAGCGGCCCACATCTTCCAGTTCTAACTTGGGTCCCTTCCTTTTTATAGCAAGAGAGGCGTCTGTTTACAAACTTCCACCGGCAGCTGTTCTGTTGGCTGGACAAATGGGTCGACCTGACGATGGACGACATTCGAAGGATGGAAGACGAGACGAAGAGACAGCTGGATGAGGTACGTGGGAGGCCCGAGGAGACTCCGGGGCTGTCCGCTAGGAGACTGTCGTGCCGGGGCAGCTGACTGAGGGCACCGTCCTGTGGTTCTAGGAACATGTCAGCGTCCACTGTGGGTAAGGTCTAATGCCAGGCGATATGGGAACTACGAGGAAGAAAGCAGCCTGTGCTCTTGAACTTGCAGTCTAGTCGAGGTCTTGGCATATCCAGAGAGACAGATATGGCGGGCTGTGCTGAATGCCAAGTGAGTAATACAGTTGCCGCAGCGGTCCTCCAGAGCCGGGTGGGGGAACCGTGCTGGGCTGCAGAGGCGGAGGTGGCCCCGGGAGGCGGAGGCAGGCCGGGCTGGTCCACGAATAGCATGCACGAAACTCACAGAGGACAGCAGCGAAACGCACACCACAACCCCTCTTTAACAGTGTTGGAGCTATTTTAGAGTTTGGAGCCTTTGCCCCCGCCTTTTTTTTTTCTTTCTGGCTTGGCATGGTTCCCAGAAGGAGAGCTATCTGCTGCTCCATGGAAGCCTGATGACTTAGCACCCCTCTTGCCTCCTTTGAGGAATTTGGGGCTGCCTGCCTGCAAGACTCCCTCTGAGGAGACTGTCGGTAAACAGCACTCAGGCACCCACCATGTGTGAGGCATCATCTGGAGGGCTTCTCCAGGTCTCGGCCCATCTCCTGTGGTTCTCACAACCCCTGTGAGGAGGTGCCGCTGTTACCCCCACACTCAGGTGAGGAGGTAGAGATGCTGGGAGTTCAAGGCCGGGCGCAGGATCACACAGCCTGCAGGTGACACAGTCAGTCGGGAGGAGGAGCCGTAGCAGTCAGTCACTTGGCCGCTTCTCCTCCCTCTAAATGCCGTCGGGGTCTCCTTCCTGCCTCTCAGGGCCAAAAATGAGGCAGGAAGTTCTATTTCATAGGAACCGCCATCCATTTCTCCCTCCTTGCCCTGGGAGGGTTGGCACGGAGCCTGGGTGTCTGGCAGGCAGAGCTTTGCACAGCTGTGCCTGGCTCTCCAGCAGGGCCTCCGGTGAGGCGCAGGCCCAGGTCCGAGGGGCCCCCACCACTCTGGTGCTCCCACTGCACTGTGCTGGTCTCAGTGGAAAGTGGGCCCATGGGCGCTTCCTTAGAGGGGGAGCCCCATGGGGAATGGATTCTCCCCTCTAGGGTGACACTTCCAGGCTGACTCACTGGTTGCAGCAGTTTGCTGAGTGAGTTCCTGTTGAAGGCAGATGTTTAAGTTATTCATTCAGCTGCAGTTTCAGGGAGGTGGCAGGATTTTGGACACAAGTCCTACTTCTGCTTAAGATCTTCAGGAAGCGGTAGGTTTTAATGTCCAGAGCTCTGGTGATTCTAACAGTGTAAGAGAGAATCCTTGAATCTTGTGGTCACCTGAGTCCTGACCAAAAGAGAAAAGAAACAAGTTACCAAGTGGAGGAACAGGGACAGAGCCTTGGAGGTTTTAGTCTGCAGCTTCAGTTACCTGTTGCTGCCAAGCTGGCCAGAATACCCCAGGGTCATGGAAACACTGGCTGACAGCCTCTTGGGGTCGAATTGGAATTCCTGGTGCCGGCAGGCTGTCTGGAGCATCTGCTGAGCTGCCTCCCTCAGGTCCTCAGCTCGGGGGCACGTGTCCTCACAGAGTTCTCTTCCCGTCCCCAGCGCTTGTCTTTGTGTTTCCATTCTGTGCATAACTGTGCCAAAAGTTTGGATGATCTATATTGTCCAAGATAACTGCAAATGCAGAAATCCCTCCTTGGAACTGGAATTTTTTAAATAGTTGGCGATGGAAGAGAAAGCAAGACCACTGCGGGGGACGTGTTCTGACCCCGTTAGCAACTGTGTGGGACCTTTGTGCCGACTGTACTTCCTGCTCACGTGGCGCTTTCCTTTCTTATTTTTCCTCTAAAAATATTTTTATCAAAGTTTTATTTTCAGAGGTTTTTTTTTTTTCCATTTTTAAAAAAAGCCACTTTATTGAGGTCTAACATACAAAGAGCTGCACCTATTTAATGTGTACATCTTGAGGAGTTTGCAGATAAACAGACATTCGTGAAACCGTCACTACAGTCAGTACCATCACCCCACAAGTATTTTTATAGGTTTTACACTCAGGTAGTATCCCACACTTATGAGGAAGACACTGGCTTCTTCTGCCCTATCGCCAAGGTTGCGGCCCCAGAAATAGCCCCTTGGAATCCTTTTTTTTTTTTTTTGAACTTTTTATTTTATGTTGGGGTATACATACATTAGCTCAGTCATGTCCAACTCTGCGACTGCATGGACTGTATCCTGCCAGGCTCTTCTGTCTGTGGAATTTTCCAGGCAAAAACACTGGAGTAGGTTGCCACTTCCTTCCCTAGTATTGGGGTACAGCTGATTGACACACACTGTGGTGGCTTCAGGTGAACCGTGATGGGACTCAGCCACACACATACACACATGAACCCTGTCATCTCCTCTGATTTTCATTTCTTCTGTGGGTAATGTTCTGGTTTTCTTAGGAAGTTAGTAAACGCCTCCCTCGTTGTTCACTTAGCTTTGTGTCTGTATCATTAAGTTGTGTCTTTGAGATTCACGGGGCTGGGTGGTTGGGCTGGTGGACACAATATCAGTAGTTGAGGCTGGTCCATTCTCATTTTGCTCCCACTCGGTAGACACTTAATCTGAAGATCTCTTCAGCTCTGGAAGCTGTTTTGTGTGTCCCGTGTCATCACCTTCTCCCCGCTGTCCTCTTTGCTCTCTTTCTGGAATCTGTTGTTGCTGTTCGCAGTTGGACATCATGAGTTGACCTTCGAATTTTCTCATGCTTTGTCTCCTTTTTTGTGTGCTTTCTAGGAGAGGTTTTCTGAAGTTAACTTTTGTCTCCTCCACTCAATTTAAGACATTCTTAAGCACTTCTTTCTGTTCTTGGCCTCATTTTCCTTTTCAGAAGCATGGGGTTTGGTTCTTGCGTTTGGTTTTGTGGTGTCTCTTCCCCCTGAACATTGTTTCCTCTGAGCTCCTCTTCCTGTTGGACTTTATGTTTCCTGTTAGCGGCTTCCCTCGGATGACTGGGCCTCCTTGGCTGTCCATTCAGTGAAGAGAGCAGCTCCAAAAAGTGGATGAAGCTCTCTGAATCAGTTGTTATTGTTGTTCAGTCGCTCAGTTGTGTCCAGCTCTTTGCGACCCCAGGGACTGCAGCACGCCAGGCCTCCCTGTCCCTCACCATCTCCCAGAGTTCACCCACGTTCTGAATCAGTCAGTGGCTGGGCTTACTGAAGGGTAGTCAGGTGGTTCCGCTGGGGCTTCCCGCTTCAGGCTCCTAAGTGTGCTTTTCTTGGCTGCTTGTTTTGCTTCAGGAGGACACCCCAGCCTTTTTCTCATGGGGCTGGTCAAGGCCAGTGTTCTGGGAGCTGATCTAGGGAAAGGTCCTAGGGGCAGGCTGAGAACCAGGGGAGGTAACACCGGGGCACGCCAGAGCCAAACTCTTCTTTATTTCCTCTCGCAAAGGAGCCACCCATTTCTAACCCCAGCTGCACTCCCTGCATGTAGAGGCGCCTGGTGCTGCCGGTCCCCCAGCTTCTGGAGAACCTGCAGCGCTAGTGGGCCCGCTCCCTCCTGGCTGCCCTCCTCACCCACTGCTCCTGCTGCTCTGCGGATTAGTCACTGCTCCTCCGTCCTCCTTTCGTCTTCCAGAATGCTGTTTCCATCTCTTACCTGCTGTTGTCTCCTCTGTTCTTGTTGTCTTTGTAGTTTTCCATCTTTCCATCTATTTTTCTTTGTAATTCCTTTACTGTCATCATGCCTAGCTTTGGGGGAGAAACAGCAATAAATGCTTGTACTGCATCCAGCCTGCCATGATTAACTGCAAGTTTGTGATAGAAATTATGACTGTTATTCTTTAAACCAAGGCATAGCAGTCTGGTGTGGGTGGGTTGTTTTGTGAGTTATAAGAGGTCACTCTAAGGCCACAGTCACCCCTGCCATAACTCTTGTCCCTCTGGGAGGTGAACCCGCCATTCTTGGATGAGGCTCAAGGATTTGAGAAACACGGGATCAAGAGATTAGTCCTTTGCCCTAAAAACAAAAATGTCAGGAAATGCGTGCCTGAGGGGGAATAGTGGCTCTCCCTCCCTCCCTCTCCCTCCTCTCCTGCTTTTAAGAAACACGTAGCCTCAAAAGTGGAAGAAAGTACCTTAAAGTTCATTTAGTCTAATTCTGTGGCCAGCGCTTGAGTCTTCTCTGCCCTTTCCCATTAGCTTGTGCTTGAGCGCCTCCTGTAATGGGGAACTCACTGTCTTACAAACACGGCAGTCATAAACATATCTATCTATCCATATTTTTTAATTGAAGTATATAGTTGATTTGCAATAAGTTGTTTTTGTGGCTTATGGGATCTTAGTTCCCTGTCCAGGGATTGAACTCAGGGCCGCGGCAATGAGAGTACCAAGTCATAACCACTGCACTGCCATGGAATTCCCGTACAATAACATACTTTATTATTATAGAAGCTGACATTTACTGAGGTCTTACCATGTGCCTGTCATGTGTGGTAAACAAACATTTGACATGAATTGTCATGACATCCTCTTGGCTACCTGTGCCATAGGTATTCTTGGCAGAGAAGTTAAGCATACCTTCTAGTTCAGAGAACAGGTTCCTCCTGGACCTTGGTCATTAACTCTAGATTATGAGATGGGGAGAAGAGGATTCATTTTAAAAATTGTAAAAAAAAAACAAAAACAAAAACAAAATCTGTTTCCCTGTTTACAGGACTCTCTAGAACATTTGCTGAAAAACAGCAAAGAACACGTGATTGAAGACCCCGAAGCATTTTCGTCCTTGTCTTCCCTCATGGGTCTTCCTCTCTGACTCTTGGCTCCTCTGATCCCTCCGTTGCCTATCCCTTCTGGATTTTGTACTTTGGGATGGAGCTCAGTGGCTTCATGGCACTCTTGGCTCTGTGGGCTCACCTGGCAGGCTTGTCTCTGAGCGTCTCTGTAGACAATCTCCCTGTCCATTTGCTTGAGTCTGAATGTACCTGTCTCCTTATCATCACTTTAGTATGGATGAAGAGGGCCCTTGCTCCATCCTCTGGCTTTTTGACTGATGATTCACCATCACTTCTAGATTTTAAGTCTTAAACACTGGACCAGTTACCTATCAATTACATAAACATCCCTGTGCAGTGAAGTGCCTGTCAGGATACTGCATCCCAGAGTTCCCTGTTTGTGACAGACAAGGGTCTTCAGGTTAAAACATTCAGTGCCTGGTTCATGTGCTGGGCTGTGGAAGATTGTATCTGAGATTCCCGTAGTGCCTGCAGAGGGCAGAGCGAGTTCTTCTGAGGCCGAGAGATCCTTGTCTTCTGAGGCCAAGAGATCCTTGTCTTCTGAGGCTGATGCTCTCCTTGGAGTCTAATTCCCTCCGCCCTGCCCAGCAGCGATTGACCCCAGAGCAGACCACCTGGAACATTGACCAGCATCTTGAAATAGGGGAGCAGCCTTATTTTCTTTTTAAATATTTAAATTTTTCAATATTAAGGTAATGTGTAAGCATTAAACAGTTTTTAGGAAAGTAAAAAAATAGAAAAAAATCACTTGTACTCTCACTATTTAAAAACAACCACTGTAAACGTTTTAAGAATTCTTACACACTTTTACTTAGTTCTGATGGTACTGCACGAGCCTGGGTGGTCCTCTCACTTTTCTCTAAACATTATAACAGCATTTAAACCAGGAAAAAAGTTCATTCACATACACGTTTCTCACAGTAGCTACATCTTACTCTGTACCCTCTTGTCCCGGGTTGGATTTTCCTTCATGTTGTTTGCAGGTTTTCATTGTTTACAAATAATGCCATGATGAAAAATTTCTATGCACTCCATTGTTTGGGTAATTAGGATTATTTACTTAGAATAAATTCCAACAAGCAGAATTAGAGGATTTAAAATTCTTGTTACTTATTGCCAGATTTCTTCCCCAAAAGGCTGAACCTGTTTATATATTAGGTTTCTAAAGAAGTTCTAAAAACAGTTCCACTTTTGCCTTGTATTTATGTCCTTTCAGAACAGGTCTGTGGTTACTATTCAGTGTCATAAATGATTTTTTTTTCCACTGGCTTAATTTTTTACTTAATTTTTATTGGCGTATAATTGCTTTACAGTGTTGTGTTAGTTTCTGCTACAGCAGTGAATCGGCTATATGGACATATATCCCCTCTTTTTTTAGATTTCCTTCTAGCTTAATTTTTTTACTGAACTTTTTATTTTGAGATGATTGTGAGATTCACATGCAGGGGTAAGAAATAATACAGAGAGGAGATCTGTTTCTCCCAGTGGCTACGTCTTGCAAAATGATAGTATGATATCACACCCAGGAAATTGACACTGATACTTTTACAAGTTCTTTTAAGTCAAAGGTGTATTTCATACTTATAGGAAAAGCAATTTTCAAAATATGGAGAAAAATATTTAAAAAAAAGAAGAAGACCAAATAAATAAAAATATGTAGATGAATAAAAGTCCCTTTCTTCCATCCCCTGGCCTCATTCCCTAGAGAAAACCACTGCTAAAAAGAAACCATCCAAGACTGGAGCTTCTGTTTTCATGTTCCTCAACTGTATGTACATAGATAGCCGGTAATAGCTTGATCCGAGGAACACTACAAACATTAGATAAAAATCTCTCATTTTAGGCCCCAGGAAACAGGAAATAAGCATTCTTAGAACATTTCATTACAAGAATGAAATAATGCATTTTTATTTTGGTGCACCCTCTGTGGGGGGACCTTGTCTTTGAGAGTAAAGGAAGCTATCATGTTTCCTGATAGGAAGTTACATCTTATTTCAAGCAATAGGAGAACAGGACCTGGCTTTGTGTTAGTAAATTCAAGCCAGGCAGTGAGCGCTCAGGGTCTACAGGTATCTGCTTGAGACCCAAAGGGCTTTGTTCCCATGATACTAAACCTTAACCTCTTTGATTATTGAAAATGTACATGAATGGTCATTAGCTAGCAGACACATAATGAGTGCATTTCTGTCTTCTTTCACATTTATTTATTTGGCTGGCTGTGCTGGGTCTTAAGTTGTGGGCACTCCAGGTCTTTAGTTGTGGTATGTGGGATCTAGCTCCCTGACCCAGGATCGAACCCAGGTCCCCTGCATGGAGTCCTAGTCACTGCACCACCAGGGAAGTTCCCATTTCTGGTTTGGGGTCGGGGGCAGGGAGGTTGGTAATTATTTTGAAGGAGTTTCTTGTTTGTTTTCTGAAAGCATTTCAAACTTAATGAAAATGACGAGAATAGCTAGGAAAGGAAAGACAGCATCACGCAGCACACCCTCCTAATCTGTCTGGTGCAGCCCCTGTTTTCTGGGAGTTCCACGACCTTGACACTCGTGGAGGTTATAGGCTAGTCATTTTGTCGAAGGTGTTTCAGTTGGGGTTCATCCAGCACTTCTGCGTGATTAGATCCAGAGTCTGTATTTCAGATCAAAAGGTCACAGACTCAAAGGTGTTCTTTTCCTTGTATTCTGCCTGTCCTTGTCCAGTCCCGGTGAAGTTACCTTTGTTCACCTGGGTGTGGTCATCACTGTTGGGGTGTTGCTGATCCCAGATGTCCGCTTAGGATGGTGCGGAGGGATTTTAACATCTGTAGCTATTTCTATATCTCTCTGATCTATTATGTTCACACAAATACTTCAAATTCCCACCTCACACCACAAGGGTAACTTTCTGTCTTTTAAAAAATTTGACTCAAGAAAAATCTTGAGTTTGTTAAGCTCTTATAAAGTAATATATTAATTACTATGGATAACCAAAATTATAGGAACAATACAAATTTAAAGCTACCATTCAGGAAAGTGAGTTTTGAGCAAAATCTACAGGGGAGAGGCATCATTCCAAGAGGGAGCTAGGAACTGTCACTGCTATGGCTTCAGGTTCAGTCCCTGGTCAAGGAACTAAGATCCCACAAGTGGCTCAGCACAGCCAAGGAAAGAAAAAGACTTTGAGGAAACTCTAGCGTGAAAGACCAAGCTAGGAGCTTAGGTATAATCACAGTAATCAGTATCAGTAGGGAGTGACTATAGGAACCTCTGGGAAGGACTGGGAGAATGTTTTTCTCATGTTCAGGTTCCACGTGGGCTCAGTGATTTTTAACAGTTTTGGGGGGATAGGGCGGGCGGTAAACAACGGTCAAGGGTTTGAAATGTGTCAGGAAGTATATTCCAAGATGTTTCCCAGTGGAGAGCTACTACTGATGAGATAGAGTCTCTGAACAGTGTGGCTGAAAGCCTAGTGAATAAAGCACAACTGTGGAGGCTGTAGCTTAAGCGTGCAGCTTCTTGAATGTTATGTGCACACATGGCATGTTCACTGTGCTATTTAGAACAAAGACATAACAGGACTGATAACATGTACAGGGTTCCAGGCACTCCTCTGTGCTAAGTACTCTCCGTGAAAGCTTAATCTTCACTACAACCCCATGACACATGTAGTGTCTATTATTATCTCTGTTTTTATTATTGCAGAAATTGAGGCTTAGAGAGCAGTGAAGGAACTTGTTCAAGGTCACAGTTTAGTGATGAAGCCAGAATGCGATCCAGGCAGTCTGATTCTAGCGCTTATACTCTGAGGGGCTCAAAAGTTGTTGAATGAGTGAAGATTGAACCTGGTGCAGAAAATTCATGGACAGTGAAGACATGTCTAATGGGAAGTTATAATAGACATGTTCTAGACATCCTGCAATTAGACTCTATTTTTAAGTTGGAAAGGATTTGAGAGCAATTGCCAGCACGGTGTTCCCAGCAAGAAGCTGTGTCCACTGCTGTTGAGAGGTGCGGGGACAGGGACCACTCAGTGCTCCCAGAGAAGACCTGTCCTCTTCTCCGGCAGCCTCGCACTGCTGCCGAGCCGAGATTTCACCTGCACTCTCCATCCCTGTGCCCACTTGGCTGACTGGGCAGACTGGCCAAAGCCTCTTTTTTTTTTTCCATGTCACACAGCATGTGGGGTCCTCCCCAACCAGGGATGGAACCTGCCCCCGCACACACACACACACACCCGCCCTGGAAATATGCAAGTCCCAGGCGAAGCCTCTAAGCAGAGCCCAGGAGAGGGAATTGCAGTTCCCTCTGCCTGAAATGCTCCCTGCTGCGCCCACTGCCGCCCCTGAGTACCCACAGGATTTCCTGCCTCACTTCCTTCATGTCTCTGCTCAGACGTCACTTATCAGAGAGGCCTTCCCCAGGCAGCTCATAAACAGCACCTCCCCAGAGCCATTCTCCATCCCAGCAACCTGCAGCCCCATCTGACATGGACTAGTTTCTCTGTCTTCCCCTCACTTTGTCCCAGAATGTAAGCTCCTTGAGGAGAAACTTGGTCTGTTTTGGTTCATGGCTGAAATCTTCAGGCTGGGAACCGTGCCTTGCCAAAAAAAAAGATGCTTCATAAATATTTGTTGAATGAATGAAAGAAAGAGAGGAGCTTAAGAACTAAACCCCAACACTGAGACGCAGGGGAGAGAACTAGAAATCATGGGCAGTGGGACCAGTGACAGAGCTATAAATAGTGTGGCATTGGCCCTGTGTACACAGAATTCACTTTTTCTGATTTGGTTTGTGTGCAAAATACATGCTCTACCCTATCCGCTGGCAGGCTTGAGGAGGAGGAATTTGTACCTGTGGTGGAGTTCCAGCAGCGGCAAACACCTTCCATTTGTCCTGTTTTCTTCTGTTGCAGATGAGACAAAAGGACCCAGTGAAAGGCATGACGGCAGACGACTAAAGCCACTCCTCCCCCTCCCGCACCGTATGTACCAAGTTTCTCACTGAGCGCATCACAGATGCCAAAATCAGTCATCAGTCTGGGTCCTCGCCTCTTTCCTCATCCTGCTCTCTAGTCATAATGATGGTCATGGTGCCAGAGAGCTCTCGGGCTTCCACTGAAAGAGATGATGGCTTTCAAGACATTTCAGGGATCCATGTGATTGGATACATATCCACTAGACACAGGGGCAGGGTGGTGGGACGTGGGGCTGGGGAGGGGGCGGTGGGTGAGAATCAAAGCTTATCTGCACCTAATTACTCTCCCGCCCATGAGTGGAGCCGTTTCAAGTGGAAGCTGGTCTTCTGGTTGCTCCTTTACCCCCTGGACCAGAGCCGTTCCCTGCTCCTCCCTTGGAAAATTCGCTGGCCAGACAGCTTTTCCTAGTGGTCCTTGTTGGGTCTGGTGCTTCATTTCCTTCCTCTCTGTACCCTCTGATCCCAGACTGTCCCCATCAGAGACAGTATCTTTCAGGTACTGGGAGAGTATATCTGCTCAGGTGACAGACCAGGTTGGGATGTCCCTTGTTTCACATGGTCACCCTTTCCCAAGATCCTTCCTTCTGTCAGCTCCCAGAGCCTCCAGACTTGCTCTTATTCCAGCAGCTCAGAGAGGCTTAGGCATGGGACAAAAGGCCTGGCCCTGCTCCCCATCTGGCTCTGAGAAAAAATAATGTTATCCAATAAAACCTGGCTGCTCTCTAGCATGATGGGGCCTGAGACCTCACCCGCTGTGACACGAACCTCTGCTTACTTTTCCTGCCCTGCATGCTTGAGGAGAACTTCCGGGAGATAAAAGTGTAGGACAGAATGGGTTGTGGTGATGCCAGCTTCTTGTCACTGCTTGGACCTTAGTTTCCTCTCTCTCTTCACCCCCACCACACCGCCTGGCATCCTTCCTCCTTTTGAAATCCCCCCCGTCAGTGATTTACAGTGTTTCTATTTTATTTCTCTTCCAGTTTTGCAAGACAGTGGTCACCAGGAAGGCCCAGCAGCTCCATGCTCCTGAATGACAGGCCATCTTCGGACGCAGCCTTTCTGTGCCCATTCTTCAGGCAACTCTGACCCCTTACCGTAGCTAATTCTAGATGCCCTTTACTATTGTGAACAAATAGACCGTCTGGTATTATGAAGCCCGCGTGAGCGGGAACCTGCCCCTCTGAGATATGTGGCGTTGTAGGTGGCTGTATTTACAGCTCCTCCCTCTCCAACCATTGTGTTCTTGACCCATTTCTGTGTGCCCTCCCCCCTCCCCTTTATTTCCAAGTGACATTTTTAGTCTTTGAAAATAGCTACCTTTTGTGATGTGGTGATTTAAACGATTTACTTTGTTTTTAACCTTGGGATAAACTGAAGTGTTTGGCTTCCTGGGCAGGTCTTTGCAATTTTGAGTGCTCACATGGGGAGAGGGGATGAGGTAGAAATAGATTTGTTTTCCCCCCTAGTTCCACAGAACATCAGTGTGGCTTCATAACTCTGATCTCTGCTCCCAGGAACCCACTGTTAGGAGTGCTCTAGGCACCATGGAAGTACCCAAGGCCCAGCCAGTCTGTTTTGAAAATTAAACAACAGATAACCCCTGCCCAGGCATCGCATCTCTGGTCACTAGTCTTAGAAATACCTATGGCTCCTTGGCCCTCCCGTTGCCCACTCTGTCTGAGTCTCCGCAGAGCCTGTAATATGCCCGGGTCAACTCTACCTGGAGGGGACTGTCCCGCGTGGCCCTTAGAATTGAGTCTGCCCCATGTATGCCTAATAGTGTGCCCACCCCCCACCCCCCTGCTGTCCCCAGGAGCTCTGTATGTCCACACTCTTCTTCCCTTTCGGGCTGGTGCTGCCACTCAGCAATAACCCCCTCCTCTCTGTGCTTTCTAGATTCCTGTCCTCTGTCTGAGGCTGATCAGGACACAAGGGGTCTTGATCTTTTCATGCTGCACAAAACAAGCATGCAAAAAGCTTTTTCCCAGAACACGTTCCCCCCTCTTCTCCAGTGGCCAGAAAAGAATTTGGGGATCAAGAACTCAGCTTGTCTTGCCCCCACGCTGAGTTCTGCCCTGGACAATCAAGAGCCAGTAGTGATCGCAGTGGCGAATTCTACCAAAGTTGGCTGGTGTGAAAGTCCAGGCCTGCGGGGGAGCAGAGGCTGCCGAGGGCTTCCTAGTTGCCTGTGACTTGGCAGCGCTGGAGTACGCCTTCCCAGTGGGAGAATCTGAGATAGCCGTGGTGTCACTTGACATCTCCCAAGCCTTGTGAAGTTTGTTGGCCAAGTGTGCAGTGACTCAAGCTAACGAGAGACCAAATCTCTGTTGGGAGAGTGAGAAGCAGAATGGGATGATCTGTCCTTAGGTTTTTGTCAGTTTGTTTTGCCTTACTGATTTCTAAGTGCAATAAGGGAGTGTCATGCCTGGGACTTCCTGATGGCTGCTTCCCTGTGGCCCCCCTGGGGCAAGGGGCGGCGGGGAGACAGGTTCAGCGTGGTTAGCTCCTGCCTTCACTGAGTCCCCTCTGGGACCACGAGATACCCCATCACACCTTCCTTTTAGTCTCCACACCTTGTGGGGTCTATAGTAATGGATCTGGGGCAGTTCAGTTGGTTATTAGCAGCCCAACTGCTGGTCGCATTTATTTGACAGGGAAAGTTGAAGTGGCATTCCTACTGGAGAAAAATGTAAATGTTTTCCTACAAGTTCTGTAATAGCTGTAATTATATTTGTGCTTAAAGCTTTCCCTTCTTTCATTCATCAGCTAAGTGAAGTCCAGATGTGCGTTAGCCTGGGAGAAACAAGCAGTGATAATGTAAGCAGACTATTGTTTACGTGGTTTGAGGGTCAGCAGATGTTGGTCTCCTTCCTTCAGTTCTTCCCTGAGATTCATACATATCACTCCAACTTGGGGAGGAGCGGGGCTTGCTCTTTGTGGGCTCTTTCTCTAGCTCCACCCACCTCCACCTGTTGCTCCAGTTCAGCCTCCACGTGAGCCGAACTAGAATTTTCAGAGGTCAGCTGGATCTGGGGCTCCAGTCCACATCAGCGCAGGAGGGATGAGCCTGTTCTGTTCTGTCCCCGTGGAGAGTGTCGCTGCTGGGCAATGATACCTTTTAAGTACCTCCCTTCCCTTCTTACAAACCCTGCCCTAACTGACTAGCACTCAGAGGGGCTTAGGATGCAAAGCTCAGCTCCAAGGGTAGTCTTTGAGGATGTGCCATGCCCCTTCAGACCAGCTGCTTCCGTCAGATTTCCAGGGCCACAGTCCCAGTTGGAAGCAGCGGTGCCTCTGGGGGAAGAGGGGTGCTGGGCTCTGGCCTTCTCACGGAAGGATGTAGGGGACAGGGTCAGTATTGTGGGCACGTGTATATCTTCCCCAATTCTCTTACAGTCCCTGCTGGGACTCCCTGACTTATTTTGGTTGGTTCCTAGTGCTACTTCTTTTACAAAAACACTTTGTAGACCTGATTAGATTACTTTGTTTATTTAATGTGAGTTTGTGCCTTTTTGTCTCAATCTTCCAATACAGGTATATTGGGGGAAAAAAGCAGTCTAATAAAATCCTAGACAGAGCTGTCTGGAGTCCAGCTTATTGGTGATATTCTCATGTCCATTTTACAACTTAGATATCCTCAAACTCTTGCCGACATCCCCCATTTTACCAGGGAATGATTAGAAAGATCCAAGGTACCTCTAGAAATTGTGGCACATGGATTTCTGTAAACTAAGACAATCGCTCATCATTTTACTTATACAAACATCACATACCTTAAAGTATTGGGGCCATTTTCCACTGGTAGTATTTGCTTCTTGCTTTTGTCTCCCCTACTGTCCACATCCCCCTTATCCTTCCTACCAAGCAAAACATTTATTTAAGGGAGTTCGTACCCTGGCTTCTGGGTCTGAACCTTACGAAGCTTGTTTGTAAAACTGTCCTGCATTTTTCTTGGGAGAGTCATGGTTCTCCTCAGATCTTCAAAGGAATCCCATGCACGGTCCTGCCCCGCACCCCAAAAAAGACTAACGAACCAGTGATTTGAAGGAAATCATCATCTTTGGCACCGTAAATAATCTTCATGTTTGGGCGTAGGTAGTGACTTATTTTTCGTTCACCAATGGCTTATTTTCTGAGCCCAGAAGCCCCTAAAAATGTCCAAGGTGTAACAGTGTGCACGGGTTTGGAAAGAGGAAAACACTGAAGGTTGGAAGTGGAGAATGGAGGCGCTCAGTGGCCTGGAGGAGGGAGGTTACCTGTAGCTGGGGGCTAAGAGTGGATTACAGGCCGTACAGTGGCTGGCTGCGTCCCATCCGGCTCGCCCTCTGCTCCTCTGGGCGTTGGGAACCTGTAGAAATCTGTGCCCTAGTACCCTGACACCTCTGTGAAAAGGGACGCCCCGGAGAAGGCGTGGCGTCGACTTCCGCCGGAAGACAGCCCCTCCTGGCCAGCCTTGCGCGGGGCAGCCTGGGCGCCTCGGGGGCGGAGTCTCGGCCGCCGCGCCCCGCGGGCCGGGCCTTGTTGCGTCGGGTTCTGCTGCTACGGGGACACGCCTCTCTTACGTCCACCGTCCCCTAGGCCCCTTTCCTTTCGCCTTTCTCCGTTTCGCGCTCCTTGGAGAGTCCTGCCTCTTCCTGCGGACCCACCACCCAGAGTTCTCCGTACGCCCCGGCCCCGCCTCTTACGGAAGCCGAATCGAAGGGTCGGAATCCGGAAGAAAAACAATCGGGAGTGTGAGCGGGCCGGCACCTGCTTCCCAGAGAGAGCCGATTGGGCCAGGACCGGCGAGGTGCAAGCCGGCCGGGCCACTGCGTGGGGACGATGGAGGCCATGAACCCACGGACCGAGCCGAGATGCAGGACGCTCAGGTGAGGAAGGCGACTGCGGGCAGGCCGGCTGCCCGGGGAGGGATCGCTACCTCCAACCCAGTCAGTGCTGCGGGTCTGGGCCAGAACCGGACTGGGAGAGAAGGGGCCAGACCTATAGGTTGCTTCTAGTTCAGAGGCCTCTCACATTCTCCCAGGCCAGTATCTAAGAGAGCTATGTTGGGCTCAAACCCTGCGCCTCCTCCAAACTCAGGCCGCCAAGCTCTTACCCACTTCGGCGCCCCTAGCAGGTGTCCCAGTTAGATTCTGGAGGAGGGAGCAGTGTTAGGCTCTTTGAAGTTAAAGCTATAACAAAGCATTCTCCCCTTAGGTCTAGAGTAGAAACCTTGTTATTTAGATCAGCACATACATCATGGGATCTGCCTGATCCCGTTATGACCTGAAATCCACAATCAGATTTAGATAAGATCCTTTAGTGAAGTGATAATAGCTTGGTCTCATGCTTGCTCTTTAACAACGCTAATCACCAACTTAGTGCCAGTCACGATGCAAGGATTTGCTGCTAATCTTGGGACCTAACAGTGGGAACAAGAAATCCCCTCTCTGGAGGTCCCTGGGAAAACAAGGAGCCTTGCCGTGAAAGAGCTACCTTTTAATCCTCCGTTGGACAGCAGGGGGAGATCGTAAACAAACGAAGGGGCAGAACCTCCGGCTGAGTGCCTGGGAAGGTGGTTTTCCTATTGTTTTGTTGATGTTCGGAGGGAGGGGCAGGAAGTTGCTTTAAGCTGGCCAAGAATTTCTTCAGGTTGTGCTTTTTTAGAACTCGAACCTCTAAGAACGGGGATCTGGTGGAGAAAAGATGTTTGGGGAAATCTTGCCCTTTTCTTCTTGCCCCCATTCTAAATCTGCTGTTACAGATCCTCCTCCTTACGGTGTGCCTAGGACTTCCCTGGGGCTTGCTGGCTCTCTTGGTCTCTGTGGGGTTTTAGCCCCTGCCTGCTGTGAACTCGGCACAGTCTGGGGGCTTCCCGGGAGCACTGCTGTAACTGTTCAAATGAAGAGATTTTCAAGTCTCTCTTTCCCCTGAGCCTCTGAGGAAGCCAGTGTTATTGAGAGCTGCTGATTAGATCTGTTGTTTCCCTGGGGTTTATATGAAGCTGCGTTGGATGTTATCCAACTGATGGTTTTTCCCAAAATTGGGTAGACTCTTGAGAAAGATGTTGGGAAACCTGTTATTTAGAATCTTGTTAGCCTCTCTGAAATGCTTGGCAGAATTGGTTGTGCTCCAGGGATGAGTGAGGAAGGAAAGGTGGTGCCCTTATCTGTTATTTTTTAAATTCCCCTGTTTTGCTGTGCTCAGGCCTCTCACAAGGTGAAAACTGAACGTCCAGAATCTTTCTGGTGGTCCTGGGACCCCATGGATTGAAGAGTGGGGGGTGGGGAGTTGCTGACTGAGCCACAGATGAAGGGCTGTTAGAATTAATAAATTCTTCACTGCCCACCCCATTCACACCCCTTCCCTTGCCCGACTCCAAAACCTTCAGCCCCGCTCGTTGGCAGCTCTCCTGGTGTCAGCAGCACAGGTGCCGCCAGCCGTGGACAGCTGTATACCTGCATGGAGGAGCCAATCCTGGGTGGGCATTTCCTGCTTCAGGGGACAGAGGGCTTGAAGATGAAGGGCTTGTAGTTCAGTGCCCCTGTTCCCTCCAGTGGACGCAGAAAAGCACACATTTCCCATTCTGACTATAACAGATTATGGTCCGGCCATTAGCAGGCGCAGCCCCTGGTCTGTTACCTGGACGAGGTCTCAGCCTCCTTCCTCCGTGGCTTCCCTTCGCAGCATACATGTTGTGACGTGGAACGTGGCCTCTGCAGCACCTCCTCCAGACCTCAGTGATCTGCTTCAGCTGAGCAACCTGAACCTGAATCTGGACATATACGTCATTGGGTAGGTGTCCATAGGACACGTCACGCATCCCTATATCTGAGATCAGGATCAGGTAAGCCTGACCAGTCCCAAGTTGTCCCCATGGGGAACCACTGTAACCTGTTCACCCTCGCCCTGGGGTGTGAAGGCCAAGAACTTTCAGCCTGCATCAGAGCCAGGCCACATCTGTTGTCCTGGGTCAGCAATGGCAAGGAGCTGGCAAGCAGTAGCCACAGGGGAGGGAGAACCCAGGGCTGGACAGTCGGCCGAGGGCAGTGCCCTCCAGGCCGGGGGCAGGCCTCTGATTTGGGATGGGCAGTTTGCAGGAACTGAACTGTGGGATCATGAGCCTCCTTTCTGACACTGCCTTTGAAGACCCATGGAGCAGTTACTTCATGGACGTGCTTTCCCCTCTGAGCTTCGTCAAGGTAACTTGCAAGTTCATGGGCAGTTGGGAAATGTGTCTCACCTCTTATTACTAATCCCTAGTCCTTTGTCTCCCCGTCCAGCTTTCATGCTGTTACCCTTCTATTTAAAGACCCAAACCCCAGTTGCACCTGGTTCCCTGGGGCTCCTGCCTGCCTTGTGTCTTTCTGAAGTAGCTGGAGCTGAGCTGGGACCCCAGGGGCTAGTTTAACACTTAGATAGTTTTCAGGTTGGGAGAATTCCTTGGGGAGGCGTAGCAGGGCTTAGTAACACCTCATTGCCTTCCCCACCCCCAGCCTCCAATCTCTACTCAAAGACCCAGCCTGAAATCTCAGAGTATAATAGTAATTGCCACTATCTATGGTGTGCTTATTGGTGGTGGTGTTCTGTTGTTCTGTCACTCAGTCGTGTTTAACTCTTTGCAACCCTGTGTCCATTGAATCGGTGATGCCATTAAACCATCTCATCCTCTGTTGCCCCCTTCTCTTCCCACCTTCAATCTTTCCCAGCATCAGGGTCTTTTCCAGTGAGTCAGCTCTTGGCATCAGGTGGCCAAAGTATTGTTTCAGCTTCAGCATCCTTTCAATGAATGTTCAGGATTGATTTCCTTTAGGATTGACTGGTTTGATCTCCTTGCTGTCCAAGGGACTCTTTAAGACTCTTCTCCAGAACCACAGTTTGAAAGCATCAGCATTATAAACAAACTCTTTATGTACATTATTAAAAAAAATCCTAACTATTCTGAAATATAGGTGTTATACAGATAAAACCAAGACTCAGAGATCGTAACAGATTTGGATCCAGATCTTTCAAACTTCATAACCCGTGTCCTTAACTACTGTACTTTATTACTGTACTGGTGATCTCTAAGGCTGACAGGTATCCTGTGACTCTCCTGCTGGTATCAGAGGGTGTCCTCTGATCTTAAGAGACATGCACCTCAAATCCTCAGAGACCCAGAGGTCAGAAGAGACACATGTGGAGGAGAAGGATTGTCAGTCTATAGGGCCAGTATTCTTTAGGAAACCGTTTTGACCATAGGATAATCTGCAGGAATGCTCTAGATTGCTGGATTTTACTCATCTGCCCTGCACAGCTGAGAGATGAAACACAGTCCCACTAAAAATACCTCCAAGAAGCATTGCTTCTCAGAAATACCAGAACTCCTTTTTTCCTTTCTCTGGGTGATTGGATTGCTTCAGAATTCACTCCATTACCCTAATCTGGCCAGAGGTGCTGAGGCAAGAGCTGTGAATCCTCTGGAGGAGGGCAGAACCAGGTCATGTCAGATGTGATCCTGCTGCTGAGGCTAAAAGATGCCAGTCCCCAAGCCCTTGGCTCCCCCCAGATCGAACTCGGGCCTCTTCCTGCAGACTTGGAGCTGGCCCCTCTCAGAGGGCAAAACCACTTGTC